AGAGAGAGAGAGAGAGAGAGAGAAAGACGGAAGAAAGAAAGCGAGATCACAAACGAGAGTACCACGTGTTCCCATGGTTTTAAGACCTACGTTTGAAAGCACACCCCCGTTTACCATCCGGCCCAATTATCCCTCTGGCAACCCCTTCCACCCCTCTCTTACGTTCTCGCGTTGTTTCACCACTGCCAATTACACGTATTTGCGTCCTCGGGCCGCCAGCCCAGCCGAGACTGGATTCTTGTGAATTCTTTATTGTTTCGACTGTACGACGGGTGGAACAAAGGGCCCCGGGGCCGACGTTTTTCTTCGTCCCTTGCCTATTTCTCTCTATCCCGTATCGCCCGCGCGATTAATCGATCCACGGCGCACGATGCCGCGGACATCGCGTCCTTCCGATCGAATTCGATGCTTCCCGAGAATTTGCTATTCGTTTCTCAAAGATAAAATTCGTCCGAAGATTAAATAAATAATAATTGTTTCATCGTTTAATTGAACATTCTTTGAAAAAAAGGAATCATTGAATTTTTTTTTTTTTTTTTTTGTTCGAGGAAATTTGAAACATGTTGCTCGTTCTTTCGAATCTAAGGAAAAAGTATTACTAAAAGCCATGCTCGTATTAAATAATTCCTGAATCGGTGTGGTGCGGTAGCAAACAAATAATTGACAGATTACGAATGTTTGTCTATTTATAAAAAAATTTTTGGATTGCAAAACAAATCTGGGCGATAGAACTCCTCAGGATACAAGTAATTCGATTTAATTGGAATTCATCTGGTCCAATGTCTGACTCCTCTGCTGTGAGTGATTTTCCGTTATAATGCACAATAGATAATATAATATATAATATATAATAGAAATTCAATTCTTTTTATTTTTTCTTTGCTGTCTTTTTTTAATTCATTAGTTGTAATATTTAATATATAATAGATTCAGTACCATATAAATGGATTTGAATATAGATTAATGAAAATTTAGAAAATAGAAAATCTGGTTCAAATAAATGGAGCTCATATAAACTAAGTTCTACTGTTTAATTCAAATCTAATCTCTGAATAAAAATTTACATCAACATAAAATAATAAATAGTAAATAAAAATTATAATTAATAACTGTACACAAGTATCAAATGAGGATACAATAATAAATTCAGAAAAATGTTGTAGCAAGAAATTCATAATCAAGAAACAGTACGTAAGGGGAAAAATGTTGAAAAATAAAAAGAAGGTTAAGACGTAACTCACCAAGTGCACCAGCGGCCAGCCTCATCGTGACAGGCAAATCGGATCCAGTGACTTCCGACAGCTTCCTCTTTCTGGGGCGACCCTTCTGCACGGTACCGGACGAGGTAATCGGGCTCTGCTCCGCGGCGCTGTAATAAGCCGGAAGCGGCGACACCCCTGGCGAGCCGATGTCCTCGATATTGCTGGCTGCGCTCCCGTAATCCCCCGCGCAGCACAGCAACTCGTAGTGAGGTCTTGGGACCGACCAGCTCGTCATTCGTGAACCTTGCTGTCGAGTATTTCAGTGGCGACCCTGTGTTATCCTCCGAGTTCGATGAACGCGCGATCGCGATCACGCTCGCGAGAGGAGATAGACGAACGGCCAGGCCGCTTCCCGCCCCGATCCGATCGATCGACCGGCGAGTCCAGCGTTTTATCATTGATCATTTCGCGACTTGTCTCGATTAATGCTTAAACAGTTTTTTTTCAAATCTTGAAGAGAAAATGTGTCTCTATCTTAAAAACTTTTCTTTTAGCAATGATTTTTTTATTAACCAATCTTTTAGAAACGAATATATATTTTATATCAATTCCCTTCGGAGGTCAATAAACAATTTCCAAGTAAGTGGAATATACTAACGCGACTTCCCCTTCGAAATTTTCTCTAGAGAAATTTTCTCTAGACCGTTTTAAAATTTTCAAATCTCGCGCCATTTACACAATAATCAAATTCCACGCGCAACAGATAGACACGAGCAATAATCTGTGTAGAGATCACGCTGCCAATCATTGTCTCTATATCAAATCGTCTCCTTTCTAAGCTTCCCGCTAATTGTTCGCGCGAATCTGTCAGTGATCGATATGCAATGCACACGCGTGAGCAGCAAGCTTGATAAATCTGCGAGAGCGACGATCGAATCGATCTCGCGGAGCGGCAAGCGGCACCGCGACGTCTTTCTCTTTACGAGAGCGCGCGTCGAGCTCGACTCTCTCTCTCTCTCTCTCTCTCTCTCTCTCGTTTTTTTTTCTCGTTTTCGATCCTGTTTCTGAGAATTGAAAAAACCGGATTCACCCATGCCTGAGGGCTGTCATTAGGTGAGCAGTGTAACGATAATAAGTGTCCTACGTCGACGCGCCTCGTGTTTCTGTCACTCTCGTCATCAAACTCGTTGATAACAAAGAGACGGCCTTTGGAGGATGGTAATTCGGGCTCGTGTTTCTCACCTACAGTAGACCAGGCCATCCCTCTGCCCGAAATGATCGCCCTTGTTCAACGGGGTGCCGCACGAGGCGCACGTAAAACAGGCCACGTGGTAAACCAAGTCCCTGGCGCGCATCACCAGCTCCGACGCGGAGATGCCCGCTCGACATCGCGAACATCTCGAAACGGCGAACAATCTGCCAACAAAAATCACGAATTTTTCCCTTTCACATACTATTTTACCAATGACATTGTCGTGACCATTGGACGATTGCAGATATTTGAGCATTTACGTTCAAATAATATTAGTATTATAAAGTAACACGAGCCTGCAAGTTCCCACTTCTACAGTTGTACAAAGTATGAAACTCTGTGAAGAAAAATATCTATAGTAATATTAACGTCTTCGCTTTATATCATTCCATACAAAAGTTAATGTAACTGTTGAAATTGAAACTATTTTACGGTGGTGATGATACAGGAAACTTGAAGTCACAGTCCAATTATCTTGAAAGTCTTCGAGTCACTTTGGAAAACAAACTTTGGTCACTCAATAACAAAAGCAACTACAACAATGTATAATATTTCGTAACAACAATGTAGGAAAGGATAATTTTGTAGAATTTCGACTGCAAAAGTGAATTACTATTTTTCGCGCTATTCACACAACGATCCTGTATTTTAGTTGTTGGAAGCAGTGTGCTTGCAATTATTAAATATTTCGTTCATTGTTTAGAATCTTCTGTTCGGTATGCTTATCTCGAGTGAGTTTGTGACATCTCGTAATATTTTTATATTCGAACATGAGCATTCTCCATGTGTTATCCGAGTTATTTTCAATATTAATTGTCTTGCACATTTACTTTTATCTTCGACATTGCCATCGTTATTGTATCACTTCTACACAACAAGTTTAATCCAGCACACATAAGCAAATAAACAAATCAGGACATTGCACACGCCATGTTGATCACAGATTTTTATAATCGAACGAGTTTCGTAACAATAATGCGCAATTTTTTCCAATTTTCTTTTAATTTTTCCAATCAAGAAACTTTCAGCGCAGATCGTATTTCCATCCGCGGTGAAGTAGAGTAATATCCGTGATAGCCTGGTCAGACACTGGTCAGACTACAGTCTCAAGCGTCCACTCGTAAACACTGTTACGACAATACGAATTATCGTGTGATATATGTTTACGCAACTACACACAAATAATCACAATTATTTTTAGATTCGAGTTACTGTGATTATATTGTGAGAATATTTGAACACTCATCACGGACATAATATAAAAAATCCTGATTCGACTTTTAAATTTTGCAGAAAGCATAGCGATTACCAAGTTCCATTGCATGTTATTATAGAAAATTCGAGCTCTAGTGACCCGTAAGAATGTTCAAACGTTTACCACAGGATAAGAGATAAGGTAAACAAAATCTTGATTCGACTTTTAAATTTTGCAGCAAGCACGGTGATTTCATATGTTCTTAACAACATATCGCATGCCCGAAAGAAATATATCCAAAGATTCCTACAACCTGTTCGCGCCCATGAGTCCTCTATCCTCGTCGCGGCGATCCTCGAGCTTCCGAGATTCCAGACGAGGGTAGAACACGATCGTGGGCCGGTGTTCCCGCGAGCTGAAACTCCGAGCCGCCGGTTCGTTAGAGAAGACTACAGGCTCCCTGGCTCCCATGCAATATGCAACGGTCCATATCCAGGCCAACCCCTTTGTCTCTCTATTTGGTTTTCGCGCTTCGAAAACTGTAACTTCGCCTCGATCGTCGACAACCGATATGAGAGCCTCGCCGAGGAAACCCTGTCCCTCCCCTCTGTCAC